AATCGCGTTTCTTCCTGTAACGAAGGGATGGGAGACAACGTGTCTATCGACGTCGACACGAACGGCAGGTGGGCGGATTTGGTGGTGAGAGCGTCATGGTGTGAGGAGAAACGTCCTACACAGGTAGATCAGAACTAGTGTCTATCGACGTCGACACGAACGGCAGGTGGGCGTATTTGGTGGTGAGAGCGTCATGGTGTGAGGGGAAATGTCCTACACAGGTAGATCAGAACTAGTGTCTATCGACGTCGACACGAACGGCAGGTGGGCGGATTTGGTGGTGAGAGCGTCATGGTGTGAGGGGAAATGTCCTACACAGGTAGATTAGAACTAGTGGTGGTTTAATGCAATCTTACAGCAAATCGCTACCTCCACCAAATCCTGCGACCTCACCTCCTCCCACTTTTAAACCACCAGGCTGACCAGAGGGAGCAGTTTCAACACGACAACGCTAGACCCCACACAGCTCGCGTAACAGGTGCCTATCTCGCCACTGCAAACGTCAATGGACTTCCCTGGCCTTCCAAATCGACTGATCTTAACCCGATCGAGCATAATTATATGGGACGAACTTGATCGACGCGTCCGTAAACGTCAGCATCGTCCTCAGACACTTGCTGAACAAGCAAACGCGTTGCAGGAGGAATGGCGAAGAATTCCCCAGGCAAAAATCCGACAACTTGTGCAATCCCTTTCAAGGCGGTGTCGAGCAGTGACTTCTGCAAGGGGTGGTGTCACCAGGTGTCTACGCATGCGCAGTGAGTGAACTGAATTACTGCTGACAATGACAACAATATATATGTTCATCTGTGTGTCGAATTTCCTTCGTCAATGTTCAAGCTTAATCGACTTGTGCACACTTAAATACATTTTCTCATTTTTTACCAGTGCGTTTCATTTTTGGAAGAGTTTGGTTTACACAACATTCATTCATGCAATGCTTTATAAAAAGTAACCTACAGATGAATAATTGGATGTACAACTGCGATGTTCAATGAAGATTTGTAAAAGACACACGCAGAACTCAAGCTGCCTGGTTGTAACTGATATTTGACACTAGCGATAACAAATCATTCCTAAATCACATCGTCTGTTTTCTTGCTTAGTCACTTAATCTCAATCAAATTCAGAATTTTCTATGATTTTGTGTTTTATTTGCCACTAGGAGGATTATCAACGGAAAATAATCCCAAGAGATATGTATCTTCATCACCTGCTGTCAACATTTCAAGTAAATTTGATATTGCTGGGACATTGTTAAAACGGCGTAAAGTCGTACAGCGGCGGATCAAGAGGTGGGGCTCAGGGGGTTCGAAACCCCACCCCCAACCCCAACCCCACCCCTTGAAAATTTCTGGATCCGTCTATGTCATACTCACTCACTCTAACCAACATGAAAACCTGAAAGGATGTACGCTTTGTTTTTAACACTATGTAATGACTCGCATTCTGTGTATCAAATCTAAAGTCGAAAGGTGCAATAAACATCAAATATAAAATCTTATGCTTACATTACAAGTAGTTAGGTGTGTAAAAGCAATTTAATATCAAACGAAATTACCAGTCTAACAAAGGATAAATTATTCTGCTTCTGTTACATTTTTCAAACACTTAAACACTCTCTAAAAATATGCATCACTTTTAATTGTCGGCCAGTAACACTCAAAGGTCACCGCGTGCAGTGTGTAGGTCACTCTTCCCTTCTTGCAGCAGTGACTGTTTTGTTGTCGACTTAAGCGACGTGGTTAAAGTTTAAAAACAAACACCTGTCAAAGTTGCATTGTCCTCTTATAATTTCAGCGAGTACAGGGATGGAGGTGTGGCTTGGCGTGGTGTTGTAAGGGGAGGTAACTGGAGAGTACAAAAATAATGTAACTCCAAAAACGAGAACATAACATTGAAGTCAATACTCACGTCAACAATAATAAATAACGGGAATTGTATTTAATTACTTACTTACACAAAAACTACAGAAGAAAAAAAAGAAATCAGCCATACCAGTCAGCGGAATATTGTTAGACAAGTACAACGCATTCTATTGTGTCCGTCAGGAAACGGTAGTATGTTGGTGGACGTGGCCAAGTCTGTTTTGTTAGGTAATCAAGTGCCAGGAAATCACCTGTCATTTATCTAAAATCAAATATTTTCCACACTATGCATCGTTCGCTCGTCACACCGATGGTAACAAATAGATGGTAACAAATTGAAATTAAATTTAAAAATCGTCAGTGCATTAATTTTTATGATATACGGTTAATCACTGAGTGTAGTTAGTTTAGTTACGTTTAAAAATATACATTTTACCAGTCAGAGGTGAGGTGAGGTGATATTGGGTTTAACGTCGTGCGTGTCTCCATGGCAGGCTGTGATGGCGGGTGCTTTTGTTCAGCTGGTTTCATAGTTTCCTTGAAACATCCAATATCAAACTGACCTGATTGGTTATGTCTCAAATAAATATTTGAGTGAGTAAGTGAGTTTAGTTTTACGCCGCACTTAGCAATATTCCGCTATATGGCGGCGGTCTGCACCAGACAATCCAGTGATCAAGAACATGAGCATCGATCTGCGCAATTGGGAACCGATGACACGTGTCAATAACTATTTGAACAAAATACAGCCGTACACAGTATAGCTTGACAGACATTCACACAGTTAATCCTCACATAAACTAACACTGGTATACGGCGCAGGGGTAACTATATTTTTAACAGAATTTAGGAACAGTTTTTTCGGTAAGACATTTTCGTTTGATATGAATACACAATGTCATTTAGAAAGTGGTCGAATGTATTTTCGTTATGTCTGGGATCACGCTTTCTCAGTGAAGTACAGATTCTAGTACTTTTGTTTGGTTGAGTCCCAACCGAGATTCGAACCTACACTCTCAGTGATGAGGTGAGGTGAAATTGGGTTTAATGTCGTGCTTGAGAATATTTCGCTCATATGACGACGTGCATGCGTGTGTATGTGTATGTGCGGCTGCTTGTACTAGCCCAGACTGAAGCTGGTTTTATAGTGCTAGCCCACTGAGATACCATGCCGCAGTGAAGCATGAATACCCCACTCAGATACATTATACTGACTCCGAGCCGACCAGTCCTTATTGTACCCATTAATGCCGAGCGCAAGGCAGGGACCAACAAGTACCATATTTACCGTCTTTTGGTATGACGCGGTCGGTGATCGAACCCGCGACCTTCCGCTCTCCGGGCGGACGCTCTAACGACTACACCGCGGAGGCGGTCTTACCAGTCAGAGAGGAAGTGAACTGTCGAGAGTTTTTGGTTCCCCAGACACAAACTCAAATCATATAAAGCCTCCACTCATTCAGCAGAAGTGAAATGAAGTTTAATTTTTTTACAGATAGTCTTATGACAGTGTCAACCCATTCTGCTTTCAAAACACAACATATCTTTATAATCAGCCTTTCATCTTGTAGTGTATTATATAGATGTGAACTGTGCACCATATATATTGTTCTTGTTATTATTACCATTAATATGGCTTTTTACAAAGTAAAAATCTAATGATTGAAGTTGGTAGAAAATATAATATTACACCAGAAGATAAATTTTGTCCTTTTTGTATAGTACCTGTGCAATAATATGAGTTTCATGTTTTATTACAGTGTCCATTTTACTCAGATCTAAGGAACAGTATTTTGCCTTACTACAGTTGTACATCTCCACCTTCGCAGAAATCGATTATGCTCTGTAAAAGTGATATTTGTTATATTGTAAACTGCCTTGCAAAGTATGTCTTCTCTGGACTTAAAAACCTTTAAAGCTGCTTGATATAACATGAAGTGACTATTGTCAAACCTTTGTATATCACTACTACCGGTGCTCCATATACATTTTATAATTGTGTTGTATGACTTGTAATATGGGCAGGTGACCTTATTTACACCTGAATAAACCATTACTCGACAAAGTACATTTTCACGACCAGACTCGGTTTTGTTTGATATGGACATTAAAGCGGTTATTTCCTCATTATTTCTTTTGTTTACCTTGATGAAGACGTGATTACGTTATACTTGTCATCGCTTTGATAACGCTTGAAAAGAATTTCATTTCCGTTTAATAGCGTATGTTTGCATATGTCGGACGTGAGACTTTGTTTTTGTTATCTACTCACTTTAATCTCTGTCCTATTATATTGTAATCAAACTTATAAATTATTCATCAGATGTCTGACATAACATATCACCTGTATTAACAATTGTATGTATTATTTATACACATTTCGTAGGCTCATAAAGCTAAAAGAAAGTGGTTGGGGTTGACTTTTGACTGAAGTTACTTTTTCAGATTTGGGCAAATATCTATTCACCATATATTTACCAGATAAATATACTGCAGACGCTGTTTTAAGACCGCGATGCCACACTTCAACTGATCCCAGTAAGGTTTTATGGAGGCGAGCTAGCTGTTTTTGGCGTGCTGCGTCACAAATTATGTGTGACCCAGTGCCACCGAGCTGTTGTGGTCCTTGTTTTCATTAACAGAAGCTTCTAAATGATGGCGTTGAGGGCGGTACTGGGGCATGTAAGAGTGGCGCTGTTACCATCATGGAATACATCCTAACTACGTCCTCCGTTGACTCAAAAGATGAAGGGATGCGGTACAGGGAGATATATATCGTCTTGAAAGCTACTGAAAATGGAGAGTTGGGGACCGTTCTTAATTTATGGCTGGTGTGTGTGGGCAAGTACTTTGTGAATCACACACACAGCACTAAAATTTATGTAGAAAGAGTGCGACAATCCCGCCCGCCTCGTCCCCCCTCATACCCCTCATAATGTTTATAAGCATACTTTTGTAATATTGTTATCTATCCGCAAGTTCAGAATCCCACCCACTCTGGGCCGTTCCTATGCCTACGTTTTCACTCTTTCGCTGAGCATGTATCAGCTTTTCCGTGATTCAAACATTTCCTTGTTCGTTTCAGGTACGTGTGATTTTGCAATCATTTCAAGGGACACAACTCTACCAACTTCCGCAAACGAAAACAACAATAATGAGGAACTCGCTCGATACCGAATTATTGAACGACTAAACATGTTTTCAAAGCACACAACCCTTTACTTACGAATCTCAGAAGCAAAGAACTTGCTGTCGAAAGACCTGTAAGTGTGTTTTGTCTTTGCAGCAGCCCTGTCAGATCGTCAGTGGGTGTTTGTTTGGGGACGCTGTGGTCTGGTGCACACTGTATTCTGACTCATCTTGTGACAGCAGTGGTCACATAGATAGGTGTTGGTCTTCAGATACCTTACTAGTGCATGTGTCTACTGTCTTTCTATACGGTGTCATTTGGCCACCGTGATCTAGTGTAATACAGAGGGGATCGCGTGATGAGACGCGACGTTACGTCATTAATCCAGATGACGTCATCACCCTAAGTGATGTCATTTCAATTAGTATTTGGGGTGGAACATCGAAAGCATTCACCATTTTTGTGTCAATTTGGTCAACATTTGTTATAAATGTTACCTCAGTTGCATGTTACAACAGCCAGTTAATGAATTATGATCACTATCCCTTCTGTAGATTCTAACAAACACATAATATTCATCTGTTGTTATTTTCACTTTTATTGTATTTGGTAAATCTTATGGGGATACAAAGGTTTATAATGTAGATTCAATAGGTCTATGTTGTTTGAAAAAAACTACAAGAACAGGATGTAGCTGAAAACTGCAATCAAATTTATCTTATTAGGAAATGAATATTATATTTCTCATTTGTGTGTGCTCTATCATTGGATTATATGTTTTCAGACATGACACTTTTTCTAACTGCTGTATTTACAGCCATTACAAGTGTTCTAACTAGAGATGTGGCGCCACAAACATGCTGTATATCTGCAACAAGGCTGCTATCACCATATGAAATAAGCCCCAAACCCAGCCAGACATCAGGGCTGGTAACTTCAAATGTTACCATCCCCAAATGGATTTAACCAGACCAGACAATCCAAAGAAAATAACTCAACTTTTAGTTCCATTGAATAATGAGACGTTTAGATGTGGTGAATTTACTCAGATGGATGGAGCATTTTATCTAAAGTTTTGGCCAGACCATCAAGCTGGCTAGCTGTAAAAATCTAGCCCATCTCAGGCAGTCAGACGGGCCTTATTTCATACACTCAGGGGTGGAAATAACTTTAAAATTGCTAGTGTACTCTGGTACAGTGGCACATGTAAAATCACTTGCCCTGATAATGTTTCCACTATACCGGCCATTTTCTTGTTCATTTTTTAAATAAACAACATAATTAACATTGGAAAGTCAACTGGACACCGGTACAGTGTGATATACAAATTTGCTTGCCCGAAAGAGAAAAACACTGGACTCGGACGTCGGGCAATGGGTTATTTCCACCCCTGTACACAGTTGCTACCTGACCAAAATATCGGTCAGGTAGCACTGAGTGCAAGTAGGTTTTACTTCCTTAAATTGAGCCCTGGTTGAATTGAGTTTAGTTTAGTCCAGTTTAGACATTTCAATGGATTAGATTATTTAATAACTCAACATAGGAAATTCCGACCTTACATTAAGTCCAGTATTGAAAAAGGTTTGAATTAGTGAGATTCCAGTTTTGACAGATTCCAATATATGGCGATCTATTGCTTTTTTCGCATTGTAAATAATATTATTTTGGTTTCATTTTCAGAAATGGCAAAAGTGATCCTTATTGTGTGTTAAAAGTTGATAATGAAGTCATAGCCAGGTAAATATGCCATGATAAATATGATAAACATGGTAAATATGATAACATGATGAATATTTTGGAAAGATAAATTTTGCTGTCATTATACAGAAATACATTGGTGAATATCATCATGATTACTGATTAAGGCATGTGCATTTATTTGATCCGATACAAATCTAAATAAACTAAACATGCTTAAATGCATAATGTGATATAAACTGCATCACAGACCCAAATAATATTATTGTTGAATATATTTGAGGGTGTTTCTATGTTTAGAAGCTTGAATGTTTTCATGTTTAAATCATGGGTTGGCCCAATTGCTCATAAGTACAATGGGAAGATTCTGTTATATGTAGTTTGTAAATCTATGTATTAATGTTTTCAGGACAGTGACGGTATACAAGAGCTTGGAGCCTCTGTGGGGGGAGGAATTCACCCTTCACATGCCCTGTGGCTTCCGTGACCTTGCAATCTACGTCTACGATGAGGACAGAGTCAGGTCGGTCACTGAATTCTGCAATTTTTGTCCCCTTTTAGATTTTCCTAGTGCCTTCAAGATCCAGGTTAGAATTGGTCTTCAGCAACCCATGCTAAGAGGTGACTAAGGGGTTGGGTGGTCAGGCTCGCTGACTTGGTTGACACATGTCATTGTATCCCTGTTGTGTTGATCGATGCTTATACTGTTGATCACTGGATTGTCTGGTCCAGACTCAATTATTTACAGACTGCCGTCACACAGCTTGAAAATTGCTGAGTGCGGTGTTAAACAACAAGCAGACATATATGGCTTGAAGCTGGAATGAGTGTCCTTCTTTAACGAATAAACAGGTAGCAACTGGCAGACTGTTAATAATATTTGGGTGTAAAACCTAACATTTAGTCCAGGACTACAACTTATCCACTACGAGGCGAATACAATACATATCACGAATACTGGGTAACGAATACAATTACAAGTTTGCAGTTGTATTAGTCAGTATTATCAGTGAATATGATTTTACCATGTTAATTTGTCATGATAATGACCAGTCACCACATTGCTGTCGATTTAAATATGAAAGCTTGTTGACTATTATTTGGACTGATGTGGATATTTTCCAGTTAGCATATCTATTTTGTTAAATAACACTCAAGTTCAAGTATAAACACTCCTTTTAAAAAAAATCATAAATACTATAATCTTTTCAAATGATTGTGAATAACGAATTGAATTTATGAAGGGATACGATTTTATTCACCGAATATGTAAGTGAATCATAACATCAGGAACTCTAGGTTAGAATAGATCCCCAGGGAACTATGTTGTTCGTAGGAAAGCAAATAAATCTGATAATCAGACTCTGTGACTTGTAAGGGGAGGGGATGTAGCCCAGTGGTTAAAGCGTTCGCTCGTCACGACGAAGACCCGTGTTCAATTCCCCACATGGGTACAATGTGTGAAGCACATTTCTGGTGTCCCCCACCATGATCTTGCTGGAATATTGCTAAAAGCATCGTAAAACTAGACTCACTCACTCACTGTGACTTGTATGACCACATGTTATTTTATGCTGATCGCATTAATGTTGTTCATGATATCAATCACAAGATTGTATGATCCTGATCTGTTAGTTACCTTCCTTCGTCATAAATCTGGAATGTTTTAAGTGTGGCATTAACAAACAAACAACAAACACGGTAAAAAATAGTTTTATGGAATTATGTCATGAAATATGACACAATTACTCTTGCAGTGGCGATGACATCATCGGCACAATCTCCATCACGAAGCAGATGATCCACGAGCAGAAGACGTCTAACGGTAACTGATGCTCCTCCATGTTGGTAGAATTGATCTTCAGTTACCCATGCTTGTCGTAAGAGGCGACTAACGGGATCAGGTGGTGAGACTTGTTGACTTGGTTGATACATGACATCGTATCCCAATTGCATAGATCCATGCGCAAGTTGTTTATCACTGTATTATCTGGTCCAGACTCGATTATTTACAGGCCGCCATCAAATAGCTGGAATATTGCTGAGTGTGGCGTTGAACAACAAGCCAACCAGACCATGTTGTTTCTAAGATTGTTACCTTGGTTACGATTTCCTGCTTGTTGCACTTACTATTGAATAGCAAAAACAACACCCCATTGTTCCATTGTCCCTATGTAACTTCCTTTTCCTATTTCAGCATTGTTAAGAGCTGGTCATGAGAAACAGGAAAGGCTGGGTGGGGCCTTATGATGTTTAGTAGGAGGATAAGCATCAAATATCATTACTATGAGATGTCAGTAAATTATTTCTTGTATTGTATTGCTACCATAGTATCGGAATACATGTCTGATCTCAACCCCACAATCTCACTGCATCTCTGTTCTATGTTAGTACCTCGTCAAGCATGGCATTAAAGGGGCTCTGGTTAAAGCGTTCGCTCGTCGCGCCAAAGACTCGGGTTCGATTTCCCACATAGGTACAATGTGTGAAGCCCATTTCTGGTGTCCCCCACCGTGATGTTGCTGGAATGTTGCTAAAAGCGGCGTAAAACCAAACTCACTCACTCAATGGCATCAAAATTTTGTGCATACCTCAGGGTTTTATCTCGATTAACTTCTGACTTCACAAAGAAGTTATCGCTGGATTGTTTTTGCTTCCACAGGACTAGAAAGATGGTTCCCCCTTCTGAAGGCGAACAAGGACCTGGAAATTCAAGGGGAAATACTCCTAGAATACGGAATACGATCCTCCGAGAACATGTCCAGCAGTCATCTGGTTCTCACTGTGGTGGAGGGCAGGTAGGTGCTGCTGTGTCTATTTTACTGTCCTCCTGGGGCAGTGGGGTAGTCTAGTGGTTAAAGCGTTCGCTCAACACGCCGAAGACCCGGGTTCGATTCCCCACCTGGATCCAATGTGTGAAGCCCATTTCTGGTGTCCCCCGCCATATTGCTGGAATATTGCTAAAAGTGGCATAAAGCTAAACTCACTCACTCATTACTGACCTCCTATATCCTATGTGTCATATCCATTTGCTGGTAGAACAGCCAGGTAATCAACAAGCATGTGTAGTGAAATTTCAATTTGCAACTAGCACACCTGGCTGTTCTACCAGCAACTGGTTACTTCTATGTATCTCTTATGATCTAAGACAAAACTTAATCTCAGTCTCTCACTTAGCAAAGACTTACTCCTGCTGTGGAGCTTTATATGGACAAGGGGCAGTGGGGTAGCCTAGTGGTTAAAGCGTTGGCTTGTCACGCCGAAGACCTGGATTCGATTCCCAACATGGGTACAATATGTGAAGCCCATTTCTGGTCTTCCCCCCATGATATTGCTGGAGTATTGCTAAAAGCGGCATAAAACCAAACTCACTCACTCACTTATATGGACAAGGTATCAAAGTATTGTTTACATAGAACTTTAACATTGTTCATTGTATTTTGCAGAGACTTAGCTCCAAAAGACAAGACTGGTTACTCCGATCCATACATCACCATTGAATGCCTTGACCAAAGTAAAACTACCTCAGTAAGTTCTGATCATACAGAGGCATTGGGGTAGCCTAGTGGCTAAAGCGTCCGTTCTTCACGCGGAAGACCTGGGTTCGATTCCCCTCATGGGTACAATGTGTGAAGCCCCCGCCATGATATTGCTGGAATATTGCAAAAAGTGGCGTAAAACTAAACTCATTCACTCACTCACTCTGATCATACGACCCAGACTGGAAGGGATTGGCTGTGTCCCCAGGATCCCTCTGTTAGTTTGAATAGGCAACAAAACTGGATACTTGTGGTGATTCAGGCTTAGGACTGGTCCCCAGCAGGCTGGCTGGACAGGATGATCACGTTGACATGCCCCAATGACATTGCTCATAATCACTAAATTGTCTGGTCAAGACTGTATTACTATAAACCATGAAATAATTGCGTCACGAAATTAATGCGAGCTCAGGGATCTGTGTTGATGATAAAATGTGACACCCTGAATCTTTGGTGGTGTTCCTGTTCTTTTCACACTTGTTATTTACCAAATTACCTGAATTGAGCTTGTTAAGCAATGAATGGAAATGAGCTGACGATGTTTTGATTACGCTGCCATGTTTGATCACGTGATTGCTTGCTACTACAGCTTGTTCAGCTTGACGTGAGCTACTCTACATATGCATAACCTGGGAGGTCAATTTTGCACAAACGGCAAGTCGAATTAACCCCATCAAATAGGGGAGCAGAGAATGTCAAACGGCGACCTTGTCTCGGCTGTTCGGACAGGTTGACAATCAACTAACAAAGGTGCACCCGTTCACAGTAATAGACCCAACCAGTTGTGACACGGCCAAGCAATGCATTAGTATTCACTTGATCAAATAGGGTCTTATGACAACATGTATAAACGTAATCCGACTTGAAACACACACTCATCTACCAAGGTACAACTAACAAGTGGCTGGAGAATGTCCGGCCTGGCTAATGTGCTTGAGTGACTTTAAACAATGACCAGTGATTGTAACCAGTGATAATTACATGTGGTTTGAGATACCTGTAATGAGGAAGTGACCTGTATTGGTGAAATGTGTAGTGTCAACAGATTTACGTTTTCTGTCTTTTATTAAGTAGATATGGTCAAACTGAAATGCGTTATTATAATAATGCGAGAAGAGTACAGACGCATTATTCGCATTAATTTCATGATTTACAGTATTTATAGGCTGTTGCCATTTAGCTTGAATATTGCCAAGTGTTATTAACCAAAAAACAAAGTATTTGAAGGGATGTTTGATGGGATCAATAGTGTCCTACCAAGTTTCACTTCATTTATGTGTGTAAAACAGTGGACAGACATGCTAACTGTCATATTGCATCAAGGTGGCACATTTCATCACTGAAATTCGCTAATGGTATTGCCTCCTTTCCGGGAACCAGGATCCGCTGGTTTCGGGTTTGGTTACAGATTGTGATATTTATCAGTTTATGTTCCTTTGAATTTTAAATGTTACTCTTTGAATCATGTGATTTGTTATGGACAGGATTTCACTCTACACAAATTAAAGTCACTCTCACAATAAACTGGAAAGGATTAACCTCCGTAAACTCACATTTCAGGAACATATTTGTGTGCTAATAAGCCTGGCATGTGGCCTCGGTGAAAAAGATATAAAAGTACAGTTTCAGATTTTTTTTTTTTTTTTAATTTATGAACAGAGTCAGAAGAAGACTAGATTCCCTGAATGGCATGAGACTTTCACCTTCCTGCTTCCGTCAGCAGATGTTGACTTCACAGTTACGATCACCGTCATGGACAAAGATCGTATTCGCAGTGATGACTTCATGGGAAGGGTAGGTGATGCTAGTGGTAGGCAGTGATGACTTCAGGGAAAGAGTAGGTGATGCTAGTGGTGGACAGTGAAGACTTCAAGAGAAGGGTAGGTGATGCTAGTTGTTGGCAGTGATGACTTCAGGGGAAGGGCAGGTGATGCTAGTGGTAGGCAGTGATGACTTCAGGGGAACAGTAGGTGATACTAGTGGTAGTCAGTGATGACTTCAGGGGAACGGTAGGTGATACTAGTGGTAGTCAGTGATGACTTCAGGGGAATGGTAGGTGATGCTAGTGGTAGTCAGTGATAACTTCAGGGGAAGGGTAGGTGAAGCTAGTGGTAGTCAGTGATGACTTCAGGGGAACGGTAGGTGATACTAGTGGTAGGCAGTGATGACTTCAGGAGAAGGGTAGATGATGCCAGTTATAGGCAGTGATGACTTCAGGGGAACGGTAGGTGATACTAGTGGTAGTCAGTGATGACTTCAAGGGAACGGTAGGTGATGCTAGTGGTAGGCAGTGATGACTTCAGGGGAAGGGTAGATGATGCCAGTTATAGGCAGTGATGACTTCAGGGGAACGGTAGGTGATACTAGTGGTAGTCAGTGATGACTTCAGGGGAATGGTAGGTGATACTAGTGGTAGGCAGTGATGACTTCAGGGTAACGGTAGGTGATACTAGTGGTAGTCAGTGATGACTTCAGGGGAACGGTAGGTGATGCTAGTGGTAGTCAGTGATGACTTCAGGGGAATGGTAGGTGATGCTAGTGGTAGTCAGTGATGACTTCAGGGGAAGGGTAGGTGAAGCTAGTGGTAGTCAGTGATGACTTCAGGGGAAGGGTAGGTGATGCTAGTGGTAGTCAGTGATGACTTCAGGGGAATGGTAGGTGATGCTAGTCGTAGTCAGTGATGACTTCAGGGGAAGGGTAGGTGAAGCTAGTGGTAGTCAGTGATGACTTCAGGGGAACAGTAGGTGATACTAGTGGTAGTCAGTGATGACTTCAGGGGAACGGTAGGTGATACTAGTGGTAGTCAGTGATGACTTCAGGGGAACGGTAGGTGATGCTAGTGGTAGTCAGTGATGACTTCAGGGGAAGGGTAGGTGAAGCTAGTAGTAGTCAGTGATGACTTCAGGGGAACGGTAGGTGATGCTAGTGGTAGGCAGTGATGACTTCAGGAGAAGGGTAGATGATGCCAGTTATAGTCAGTGATGACTTCAAGGGAAAGGTAGGTGATGCTAGTGGTAGTCAGTGATGACTTCAGGGGAACAGTAGGTGATACTAGTGGTAGTCAGTGATGACTTCAGGGGAAGGGTAGGTGATACTAGTGGTAGTCAGTGATGACTTCAGGGGAAGGGTAGGTGAAGCTAGTGGTAGTCAGTGATGACTTCAGGGGAACAGTAGGTGATACTAGTGGTAGTCAGTGATGACTTCAGGGGAACGGTAGGTGATACTAGTGGTAGTCAGTGATGACTTCAGGAGAAGGGTAGATGATGCCAGTTATAGTCAGTGATGACTTCAAGGGAACGGTAGGTGATACTAGTGGTAGTCAGTGATGACTTCAAGGGAACGGTAGGTGATGCTAGTGGTTGGCAGTGATGACTTCAGGAGAAGGGTAGATGATGCCAGTTATAGTCAGTGATGACTTCAAGGGAACGGTAGGTGATACTAGTGGTAGTCAGTGATGACTTCAAGGGAACGGTAGGTGATGCTAGTGGTTGGCAGTGATGACTTCAGGGGAAGGGTAGATGATACCAGTTATAGGCAGTGATGACTTCAGGGGAACGGTAGGTGATACTAGTGGTAGTCAGTGATGACTTCAGGGGAATGGTAGGTGATACTAGTGGTAGTCAGTGATGACTTCAGGGTAACGGTAGGTGATAATAGTGGTAGTCAGTGATGACTTCAGGGGAAGGGTAGGTGATGCTAGTGGTAGTCAGTGATGACTTCAGGGGAACGGAAGGTGATGCTAGTGGTAGTCAGTGATGACTTCAGGGGAAGGGTAGGTGAAGCTAGTGGTAGGCAGTGATGACTTCAGGGGAAGGGTAGGTGATGCTAGTGGTAGTCAGTGATGACTTCAGGGGAATGGTAGGTGATACTAGTGGTAGTCAGTGATGACTTCAGGAGAAGGGTAGGTGATGCTAGTGGTAGTCAGTGATGACTTCAGGGGAAGGGTAGATGATGCCAGTTATAGGCAGTGATGACTTCAGGGAGCGGTGGGTGATACTGAAGTGGTAGTCAGTGATGACTTCATAGGAACAGTAGGTGATGCTAGTGGTAGTCAGTGATGACTTCAGGAGAAAGGGTAGATGATGCCGGTTATGCAGGCGGTGATGACTTCCAGGCAGCATGACTTAGGAAGTGTAGTTGATGCCTTTAGGCAGATGACTTAGAACCAGTAGGCGACAATACCAGTGGTAGTCAGTGATGACCCAGGCAAACGGTAGGTGATGCTGAGTGCAGTGATGACCTAGGAAGGGGTAGATGATGAGTTACAGGCAGTGATGACTTCAGGGAACGGTAGGTGATAATTTAGTGGTAGTCAGTGATGACTCAGGGGAAGGGTAGGTGATGCTAGTGGTAGTCAGTGATGACCTCGGGGAACGGTAGAGTGATACTAGTGGTAGTCAGTGATGACTTCTAGAAAGAGGTAGGGGTGAAACTAGTGGTAGGCAGTGATGACTTCAGGGGAAGGGTAGGTGATGCTAGTGGTAGTCAGTGATGACTTCAGGGAATGGTAGGTGATACTAGTGGTAGTCAGTGATGACTCCCCAGGGAACGGTAGGTGATGCTAGTGGTAGTCAGTGATGACTTCAGGAAGGGTAGATGATGCCAGTTATAGGCATGATGACTTCAGGGAAATGGTAGGTGATACCAGTGGTAGTCAGTGATGACTTCAAGGGGAATGGTAGGTGATACTAGTGGTAGTCAGTGACTTCAGGCAACTCTAGTGGAGCCAATGACGGTAGATGATGCTAGTGGTAGTCAGTGATGACTTCAAGGGAACGGTAGGTGATGCTAGTGGTAGTCAGTGATGTAGATGCCATGATGACTACTAAACGGTAGGTGAGTGCTAGTGATGTAGGCCAGTTATGAGCAGTGATGACTTCAGGAAGGGTAGATGATGCCAGTTATAGGCAGTGATGACTTCGGTGTAGGTGATACTAGTGGTAGTCAGTGATGACTTCAGGGGAATGGTGAGTGATACTAGTGGTAGTCAGTGATGACTTCAGGGAAGAACGGTGAGTGATAATTAGTGGTAGTCGTAGGTGATGCTAGTGGTAGTCAGTGATGACTTCAGGGGAAAGGGTAGGTGATACTAGTGGTATCAGTGATGACTTCAGGGGAACAGTAGGTGATGCTAGTGGTAGTCAGTGATGACTTCAGGAGAAGGGTAGATGATGCCAGTTATAGGCAGTGATGACTTCAGGGGAACGGTAGGTGAAGCTAGTGGTAGTCAGTGATGACTTCAGGGGAATGGTAGGTGATGCTAGTGGTAGTCAGTGATGACTTCAGGGGAAGGGTAGATGATGCCAGTTATAGGCAGTGATGACTTCAGGGGAACGGTAGGTGATACTAGTGGTAGTCAGTGATGACTTCAAGGGAAGGGTAGGTGATGCTAGTGGTAGGCAGTGATGACTTCAGGGGAAGGGTAGATGATGCCAGTTATAGGCAGTGATGACTTCAGGGGAACGGTAGGTGATACTAGTGGTAGTCAGTGATGACTCCAGGGCAACGGTAGGTGATGCTAGTGGTAGGCAGTGATGACTTCAGGGGAAGGGTAGATGATGCCAGTTATAGGCAGTGATGACTTCAGGGGAACGGTAGGTGATACTAGTGGTAGTCAGTGATGACTTCAAGGGAAGGGTAGATGATGCCAGTTATAGGCAGTGATGACTTCAGCCGAAGGGTAGGTGATGCTTGTTGTAGGCAGTGATGACTTCATGTCACATCCATCACTTTAAATGGCTGATATGCATTGTAGATCCATCTCCGAGCGGATGACATTCCCGAGGGCAGTACCACCAGGAAGTGGCACTCAGTAGCTCACAAAACCCTCACAGCAACCGAGATACGCAGATGCAGGTACAGATCACTCTGATTGTCTTGAAGTAAACACAAATGTCTGTTAGTATCTTTATCCACAAATGCTGGAACTGACAGTTCCCGTTATCTCATGTGCAGCTCCTGTCAGGATTCCCAGGAAGATTAGGTCCCCAGTGATGTAAGAACCAACAAGTAACAACAAGTATTGTACAGTGCATGACCTGGTTAAATGTCATTACACCCTAATGGCATGGCAAACAGTTTTGTACAGGTTGCCATGACTTAAATGGAATATTGCTTAGCATTAATTGTTTGTGCTGATGTTGATGACTTGATATACAGAAGTGTCTACTCCTCAAGCTCTTTGTTTCAGTGTGATGACTCAGACATGGACAGTTCTGGCCCCGATTTTTCGAAACAAACTTAAGTCTTTACTCAAATTTCAAACGGAGTTTGACAATTTGAAACAGCTGAATTTTTAACAAAACTGGATTTTTTAAATTAAAAAATCCCAAACAAGTAATCTATCCACCAAACTCAAATTGTCTACTAAGTTTGAGTTGAATATTGATTTCAGTTTATTCTGGGAAATGCATTTTCCTGTGTTTTCTCAAATTTGAGTAAAAACTCTGACTTAAGTCAAAACTCAGACTTAAGTTTGTTTCAAGAAATCGGGGCCAGATTATGTAGGCAGGAGTAACAGAAGGTCAAGTTGTAAGAAGATAATTGATTTGTGAATTATTTCAACAGTAAAATCGATCGTGGGAAGTTGCGTCTGAAGCTGCAGCTGTTGGAGGAGCTGGTGCTGCCCTCGTCCTGCTACAACCCCATCACAGATCTACTGTTCCAGGCCATTAAACTAGAGGTGAGCTGTTGGACCAAGCACATACAAGCCCCTGTGTCACACATAACATGTGTCACAGCCTTGTTGTCACCTACTGTATGCATTTCTTCAATATCTGGGCGGTGGGGTAGCCTAGTGGTTAAAGCGTTGGCTCGTCACGCCGAAGACCCGGGTTCGAATCCCCACATGGGTACAATGTGTGAAGCCTATTTCTGGTGTCCCCCGCCGTGATGTTGCTGGAATATTGCTAAAAGCGGCGTAAAACCAAACTCAGTCAGTCAATCAATATCTGGCAACATCAGATTCAGCTGAATGTCTTTCTGAAACAAAATTTAGACACTCCTCACTGTAACAAAACACATTGTAATCACATGTGTTGGAGGAACATAATTTTAACCGACTAGTGAAGTCTTAATGATGGACCTACAATCGCTTCCGTCCTATTGCCAGGTTTTCTGGGTTGTAATATGGTTAACTACTATGTAGCAGGTATGTATCATGTTCAGCGTTCGAATTTAACGTCGGTCCTTAGTCCCGAAGCTGACTGAAAACCACTCGGAACCAAGCTTTGCTTTTCTGCAGGTCCTTATGGTCGATACCCGTGAAGGTCCGGGTTAGAATGAACCTTCAGTAACCCATGCTTGTCGTAAGAGGCGACTAACGGGATCGGGTGGTCAGGCTCGCTGACTTGGTTGACACATGTCATCGGTTCCCAATTGCGCAGATCGATGCTCATGCTGTTGATCACTGGATTGTCTGGTCCAGACTCGATTATTTACAGACCGCCGCCATATAGCTGGAATATTGCTGAGTGCGGTGTAAAACTAAACTCACTCACTCACTCTCCTTGTGGTCGACAGCTTTTTCATCCCGAATAACTAAAGTACTGTCGGAAATAGAAAAAAACTGTTTTTTAGGCTGTTACTCTGTATCCCTAAATTTTACACAACTGCAAATAGCAGATGTCGAAATAACCCACTTCAGCCTAACTGGGCATTCAGTGGGATGCGTAATAGGATATCCAGAAAAGCATATCCAGAAAAGCATGTTTACTCGTAAAATCGGGCAAAACTTAGAAAAATACGAATAGCTGCTGAAAACAATAGATCAGACTAAAGATGGCAATTAGGTCGCTCAGCCAGGTATGACGAAGGACCGTCGACTCACCTGGCATGAAATGCACGTGCTGCCTACAGGCACAAGGGGTCATCTCAAAGATATTTTGTGCTTTTTCATGTGTGTTGACTATGCCTCATCTGTTGATTGAGAGTTTATGTTGAGATATGTAAAAGAGTATGATACCTGATAACCATAGAAACGCATCGTATTAAATGTCTCAAAATATCTAGGTGGCATGACCACCCGATCGCGAAGATCGACAGGACTGGATATAATTTGAAAATTGTTGTGACATACCATGTACTTCCCCAGTATAATTGCCCTAAAGGATTATCTTATCTTAGCTGATATCTCTATCCCCCAGCCCGACCCCAACAATCATCTGCGACACCCGTCCAGGTTTTGCTTTTGAGACGAACCCTCCAATCTGTTTCTTTTTATAGTGACAGTGAGACTTCATGGTAGCTACATCCTTAATAGTTTCAGCATGAAAGTTATTATTTTTTACGCCAGCTATCGTTTATAATGAAGCTACGTCTAATTTCAAATTCGGCATTTAAAAAGTGTCCTTTGTAATACAATATCGTCGCACACTAATTTGCATAAAGCCATGGTCTGTTCCAAATAAATCGTTTTGGACTAAGAAAAAAACCGCATTGCTCATTTCTGCACTAATCTCTCCTCAGTAAAGTCCTTTTTCTATGTTTCCTATGTCCCTACCACTGAGACTGTAGTTAGGTCGAACTTAGTTTAACAGATATTTCACACTTGCACATATTAACTCTGTATTATTGTAGAGATAAATGAGAAAATACAGTTTTTTTTCTATTTCTGACAGTACTTTAAGAGTGTTATTTCCATATTAAAATATAGGGCTGACACATTCTGACCAGGACCCACAACAATTTATGGTTCTGGGTCCTTAAGGCCTAGGGGTGGTGGGGTAGCCTAGTGGTTAAGGCGTTCGCTCGTCATGCCGAAGACCCGGGTTCGATTCCCCAAATGGGTACAATGTGTTAAGCCCATTTCTGGTGTTCCCCGCCGTGATATTGCTGGAATATTGCTTAAAGCGGCGTAAAACCAAACTCACTCACTCACCTTAGGGCCTGCAGCTTTTCAGGGTTAAGGGCAAACACTGATCATGTTAGCTTTGATTTCATAATTTGATCTCATGTGTAAGTGTAATGCTTAGTTTTATCGTTCATCTTCAATGTTTACAACCTCTCAACAGACAATATTGATATAGACAACCAGAATTGCAAAATATCAATCAAGGTCACAAGCTGTCTCATTTCAGAACTACGACCTAGGCATGTACATATGGCCGCACTCTGGCCAAGAACAGGACTCTAGAACTCAGCGAGGTCGCGGGATCACTCATTCGGTTCTCACTGAGCCATGATGTAGTGGTCGACTTCCTCGACCGAGTGACGCGCATGGATGTGGAGGGCACAGGTAGGGAACTGTCACAACTGTCAGGGGCTGTGGGGTAGCCTAATGGTTAAAGTGTCCGCTCGTCACACCGAATACCCGGGTTCGATTCCCCATTTGGGTACAATGTGTGAAGCCCATGCCTGGTGTCCCCCACCGTGATATTGCTGGAATATTACTAGAAGCAACGTAAAACCATACTCAATCACTCACAACTGTCAGTGTGAGGCAAAGGACACAGGTAGGCCAACAAACATCAGTGCAAGACATGGGAACACAGATAAGCAACTGACCCAGATCTCCATGCCTGTGTTCTCTGTGACTGACGCAAGCGATTCAGTGAGTTGGCAAGATGAAGAGATATAGTGCTGATGTGCTTGATGTGATTTAATAGATGAAACAGAATTGGACTTATCCAGAAAATCAGTTTTACTCTCAAGAATGATATTTTTATGTATATCTATAATTTTTCCTTATTCTGACTCATGCTAATTATGCTTGTCTCCTTTCTCTTGCGAATGATAGTGGAACACTTGAAATCCCTTGAAGTTCCCTTCTAAAAAAGCGGACGTAAAATCACTCTCCCTCAAGTAGCGTCCCTTTCCTCCCTTTTGGCGCCCAAATGGCCACATGATCGGACATATTTGTCACTCTCTCCTTCTTCGCCCTTGAGGACGGTTGTGAGAGCACCTGGGTCCCTATACGGCACATATCCTTTTATATTTTTGGACCTAAAATTATTGCTGTATACGGTTTTTAGGATTATATTCTACATTACGGTTTGAAATTTAATCTAAATTTTCCGCTACTACCATGAAGACTTCAGCAAAGTCTAAGATCAGCTCTACACAGAAGACAAGGTCTTTCTCAGCCGAGATTGTTCCTCCGGAAGAAGCAGATGTTTATGATGATCCACCCATCCTCATACCTGAAGTCACCATCGTCAGTAAGAAGACGAGGCCTGCTTCTACGGCTACATCGGCATTGTTATCAGCGCAGACATTGACAGAAGACCTTCTATCAATGCATACATCGCGTTCCAGAGATAGCAGCAGCGTCAACTCTTCACAAGTGCAGTGAGCCTTAGATGACGTCTCTTCAGTATCAGATGCATCATCCCTGCAGCAGTCTCTTCAGACAATGCAGAACTTCAACCCGGGACTGTTCATGCAACAGTTTACAGACCAGATGATGTGGATGATGGAACGTCGCTTCGTTCAGGAGAAGGCTGTTATGAAGATCTCTACAACGACTACTAGCCTGCGTGAAGGCTCTACAGTTTCCCCACCACATCCGGATGAAGAGGGAAGCCTGCGCGAAGGCTCATGGACACGACGATCTTCCCCATCTGACGTAGACGCTCCAGAGATTGCTGCTAAAAAGTCTCCATGCAGGAAGGAATCGAGGTGTTCTCCCGAACCCTACAGACGTCGCAGATATGAGTCTTCATCTCCATCGGACTCTGATGCCCATCGAGAGCCTGCGCGAAGGCACTCCTACAGAGGGGAAGCTACGTCCAGGAATCCACCTTCACGAAGACCTAGAGAATCATCTCTAGACTCCAGGAAGGATACACGATCGCATCGGGATCGCACGCCTGCGCGAATCTCTTCATACAGACCATCCCATAGAGAAAGGGGAGATTACGTCAATTCGTGAAGGCTTAGAGAGATATCTCAAGACTCCAGGAGGAATATACGGTCACACCCGGGACCGTTCACCTGCACGCAGCTCTACATACAGAGACTCACGTCATTATGGATCTTTAGATAGGGAAATGTCTAACTTCACTGTCTGAAGTTAGAAGTCTGGAGAACTCTACTAACGTCAGCTCGAAATAGCAGACCCCTCCAATGGCAGTCGACCTGCGCGAAGGAATGTTAGCTATATAAGCTCTCAGATGAAGACCTGCACGAACGGTTACGTTTGCGAAGATCTTTAATACCGTCAGAAGTATCAGCAGTTAAAAGCCTGAAGGATTCAACGAACGCCAGCTTAGCGTTAGCAGTCCACGATGGAGCCTCCACGCAGTTTCAGCGTCTGAGCAGGAAGGGTTCTAACACAGAAGTAGATCCAGTCGTTCTCCAGGATTCTACAGACTGCGCAGATACGGATCATCCAACTTGGACCTTCATCAACCTGCGCGCAGGCACTCACGGGGAGGATTATAATCAGAGTCAGCATGTCCCGCCATTCAACGATAGCAGATTTCCCCTTCATCATATGGAGCCCTTCATGATACATCAGGGTTTGAGATTACAAGATCATCAGTGAATCCCGTAATAGATCTTCAAGATGGAAGATAAGAAGAGGACTTGCAGCGACAAGCCTGAGACGGTTTCTGCTCACGGCAGCCGGTCGACTATAAATAGACTTCACATCGATGGCAGTCCCAGTACATCATAGATTTTTGCTGACCTAGAGACGACGTATTATGCATCATCGCTGCACAATGTTCGGATTCTGGTGACATCTTCATTACATATTACCGGAAGATTGATGAGACCATAATTCCAGAATCGCTCATCTCTTCGCTTCCATGTCGAAAATGGCAAGGGCTCCTATATCCAAGTACCTTCAACGTAGGACATGATTGCAGTAGATGGCTAGTAATCTCCTAATCGGAGTTGGAACCAAAACAGGATCTTCAATTGCTGGGAATATGGCTCATCACACCACAGAATCACACGGTCGTCCCAGAGGATCGTTGGGTCAAGATACAAGATATGATATCTCAAGCAGTGCTCTCTCCTTTGACACTACGTGCTTGGCAAAGCATGCTTGGTCTACTCACCTCAGCTCAAGACATGACTTGCAGAGGGAGTTTACAGCTGCGCCCACTACAATATTTGTGAACGCCCATCTCGACAGTTTGGATCCACTGATACTACTGGACAGTCTGAAACCATACCTTTATGGTGGACTCTGAAGTCGAATGTTTGCGGAGGAACCTTTTTGTCAGAGCCGGCTTGCAACACTCATCTCTTCATGGATACATCACTAAAAGGATGGGGTGCTCACCTCGACAATGAAGTGGCAGCAGGAAAGTGGTCGAGTCAGGATCAAATCAACCTGTTGGAGATGAAAGCAGTGATCAATGCTTTACAACACTGTTCCAGCGTACTAAGGAACGCAAGGCTCTTGAGCCTCCCCCAGCCTCCAATCCACATGATGTCAGAGCCCTGGCATCAACACTTGCTCTGCATGGAAACTGCTTGATTACAACTATAATGGAGGGCGGCTTTTGAGATCGAACACGGTGTTTGCCAACCACTACCTCAGAGACATTGCGACCGAACACGTCTCAGGCATTCACCAGTTTGGGCCACTTGTTTTAGCACAACAACTAACGGTTCCACAAAGGCGCTGAGTAAATCTCACCCCTTTTATCACGTGACGTGAAAAACAATGCTCTGGAGAGCAATGGCTATAAGTCCATGCACACGTCTAGGACAGACTAGCATGAGTGATAGACCCTGTACTTGTATAGGACATACTTGTACATGAAGAAGGGTCGCATCTCCACTTGATGCACGCATCAAGAGATGGAGTTGCAATAGATAACTAGTGGAATGTTAGTATATCTAAAATCCACACGAAACTGTCAGGAGAAGTTTCGGAAGAAATCTGACAAGTTGTGGTCCCCCCAGACTCATCGGAAGAGAAGTTGAAAGAATCTTCAACAGTGCCATAATAAGTTCCCAAGGGTGGTAATACAGGACGTAAATCTACAACCAGTGAATCCAGAACGTGGCCTGACCCACCACTGTTTCTGACGGATTCTTACAGTCATTACAATTCAAATCACTAATTATCCAAATCCAAAGTATTATATATTCCCACCTCCATAGCCGTCGGATTCTACAAGCAAATAAGCATGAGTCAGGATAAGGAAAAATATGTAATTTTCTGACTAAAATTGATATTTTATACTTATCCTGACTCATGAGGTTAACCCTCCCAACCTCCCCTCTTATGGCACTCTGGATTTCCCTGTAAATCCAGGTGTCGGGCTTACATACGGAGAGAGTGACAAATATGGCCGACCATGTGGCCATTTGGGCGCCAAAATGGAGGAAAGGGACGCTACTCGTGGGTGAGTGATTTTATGTCTGCTTTTTTAGAAGGGAACTTCAAGGGATTTCAAGTGTTCCACTATCAATCGCAAGAGGAAGGAGACAAGCATAATTAGCATAAATATCAATTTTAGTCAGAAAATCACATTTTTCATGATATCCTGTGCCATCTTCGTCTTCAGCCAATCCAAACACCCTGTTCAGAGGGAACACTCTAGCTACCAAGTCCATGGACCAGTTTATGAAGGTAAGCTCTGCAGTTTTACTTTGGATATTTTATAGGTTCTAAGAAAGTTGTATTAATACTCCGGTAATATGGTATCCATTGTATTGAATTGAGTTTTCAATCTTCTGTAACCTCATTGCTTGATGGTGATTGGTCATTGCAGATTGTAGGAATGCCATACCTCCATCACACTCTGTCCAATGAGATTGACCGGATCTTCAGTGAGAAGAAGGCTGTGGAACTGGACCCTCATCGGGTCAACAGTGTCAGAAGGTCAGCAGCAGAGTTTAATAATAATAATAATAATGAGTGTATTTTTATAGTGCTAAATACTCCAGGCACTAAGTGTCTGCTCCAAGCGCTATCACGGCACAGTATTACCTCGGATAACCCAAGCTGCCTGTGAGGCGCTAGAAGTTATAGTCACATGACTTATCCCACCAGGTGAACAGAGACATGTTTGAACAAACTCACTTGGCTAAGGTGAGACCACATGTTTCACATGTGTTTCGTTGTGGGGCAGGACTGAAGTCCTAGAAACACTCAGGAATCTAGCTGCCAAACTCGGTCACCCATCCAAGGGCTATCCGAGCCCAACGTTGCATAACTTCAACTGATTTGTGACCTGAGCACTATTCACATGACCACATGCCACCTTGACCTACAAAAATAAGGGTTCAGAAGACCCATAAAGACTAATATCAAAGGTCGTGATAGGAGATTTGGGGGTCTTGTAAAGTCATGAATTAGTGTAGTGCAGTTCTTGCCTCTTGCAGTATATTTTAGCTGAAATGTGTGTAGTGAGTTATGTTTATAATAAACTAAAATTACTGGTCCCTTTCAGTTCGTTATAATTATAGTTTACTGTATCTGTACCTGGATTGTCTGGTCAGATTCAATCACTTATAGCCAACGTCATGTAACTGGAATGTTGTGTTAAACAACAAACAAGAAACAAAAAGGATTCCCAGAATGCACTACTTGTCCGCCTGAGACATCAAAACAGAAGTGATTCCCAGAATGCACTACTTGTCCGCCTGAGACATCAAAACAGAAGTGATTCCCAGAATGTACTACTTGTCTGCCTGAGACATCAAAACAGAAGTGATTCCCAGAATGTACTACTTGTCTGCCTGAGACATCAAAACAGCAGTGATTCCCAGAATGCACTACTTGTCCGCCTGAGACATCAAAACAGAATCGATTCCCAGAATGTACTACTTGTCTGCCTGAGACATCAAAACAGCAGTGATTCCCAGAATGTACTACTTGTCTGCCTGAGACATCAAAACAGCAGTGATTCCCAGAATGTACTACTTGTCTGCCTGAGACATCAAAACAGAAGTGATTCCCAGAATGTACTACTTGTCTGCCTGAGACATCAAAACAGAAGTGATTCCCAGAATGTACTACTTGTCTGCCTGAGACATCAAAACAGCAGTGATTCCCAGAATGTACTACTTGTCTGCCTGAGACATCAAAACAGAAGTGATTCCCAGAATGTACTACTTGTCTGCCTGAGACATCAAAACAGCAGTGATTCCCAGAATGTACTACTTGTCTGCCTGAGACATCAAAACAGAAGTGATTCCCAGAATGTACTACTTGTCTGCCTGAGACATCAAAACAGAAAACATACTACTTGTCTGCCTGAGTGAGTGATTCCCAGAATGCACTACTTGTCTGCCTGAGACATCAAAACAGAAGTGATTCCCAGAATGTACTACTTGTCTGCCTGAGACATCAAAACAGAAGTGATTCCCAGAATGTACTACTTGTCTGCCTGAGACATCAAAACAGCAGTGATTCCCAGAATGTACTACTTGTCTGCCTGAGACATCAAAACAGAAGTGATTCCCAGAATGTACTACTTGTCTGCTGAGACATGAGACATCTACTTGTCTGCCTGAGACATCTAAACAGAAGTGATTCCCAGAATGTACTACTTGTCTGCCTGAGACATCAAAACAGAAGTGATTCCCAGAATGTATTACTTGTCTGCCTGAGACATCAAAACAGAAGTGATTCCTAGAATGCACTACTTGTCTGCCTGAGACATCAAAACAGAAGTGATTCCCAGAATGTACTACTTGTCTGCCTGAGACATCAAAACAGAAGTGATTCCCAGAATGTACTACTTGTCTGCCTGAGACATCAAAACAGAAGTGATTCCCAGAATGCACTACTTGTCCGCCTGAGACATCTAAACAGAAGTGATTCCCAGAATGTACTACTTGTCTGCCTGAGACATCTAAACAGAAGTGATTCCCAGAATGTACTCCTTGTCTGCCTGAGACATCAAAACAGAAGTGATTCCCAGAATGTACTACTTGTCTGCCTGAGACATCAAAACAGCAGTGATTCCCAGAATGTACTACTTGTCTGCCTGAGACATCAAAACAGAAGTGATTCCCAGAATGTACTACTTGTCTGCCTGAGACATCAAAACAGAAGTGATTCCCAGAAGGTACTACTTGTCTGCCTGAGACATCAAAACAGCAGTGATTCCCAGAAGGTACTACTTGTCTGCCTGAGACATCAAAACAGAAGTGATTCCCAGAATGTACTACTTGTCTGCCTGAGACATCAAAACAGAAGTGATTCCCAGAATGTACTACTTGTCTGCCTGAGACATTTAAACAGAAGTGATTCCCAGAATGTACTACTTGTCTGCCTGAGACATCAAAACAGAAGTGATTCCCAGAATGTACTACTTGTCTGCCTGAGACATCAAAACAGCAGTGATTCCCAGAATGCACTACTTGTCCGCCTGAGACATTTAAACAGAAGTGATTCCCAGAATGTACTACTTGTCTGCCTGAGACATCAAAACAGAAGTGATTCCCAGAATGCACTACTTGTCCGCCTGAGACATTTAAACAGAAGTGATTCCCAGAATGTACTACTTGTCTGCCTGAGACATCAAAACAGAAGTGATTCCCAGAATGTACTACTTGTCTGCCTGAGACATCAAAACAGCAGTGATTCCCAGAATGTACTACTTGTCTGCCTGAGACATCAAAACAGCAGTGATTCCCAGAATGTACTACTTGTCTGCCTGAGACATCAAAACAGCAGTGATTCCCAGAATGTACTACTTGTCTGCCTGAGACATCAAAACAGAAGTGATTCCCAGAATGTACTACTTGTCTGCCTGAGACATCAAAACAGCAGTGATTCCCAGAATGTACTACTTGTCTGCCTGAGACATCAAAACAGAAGTGATTCCCAGAATGTACTACTTGTCTGCCTGAGACATCAAAACAGAAGTGATTCCCAGAATGTACTACTTGTCTGCCTGAGACATCAAAACAGAAGTGATTCCCAGAATGTACTACTTGTCTGCCTGAGACATCAAAACAGAAGTGATTCCCAGAATGTACTACTTGTCTGCCTGAGACATCAAAACAGCAGTGATTCCCAGAATGTACTACTTGTCTGCCTGAGACATCAAAACAGAAGTGATTCCCAGAATGTACTACTTGTCTGCCTGAGACATCAAAACAGAAGTGATTCCCAGAATGTACTACTTGTCTGCCTGAGACATCAAAACAGAAGTGATTCCCAGAATGTACTACTTGTCTGCCTGAGACATCAAAACAGCAGTGATTCCCAGAATGTACTACTTGTCTGCCTGAGACATCAAAACAGCAGTGATTCCCAGAATGTACTACTTGTCTGCCTGAGACATCAAAACAGCAGTGATTCCCAGAATGTACTACTTGTCTGCCTGAGACATCAAAACAGAAGTGATTCCCAGAATGTACTACTTGTCTGCCTGAGACATCAAAACAGAAGTGATTCCCAGAATGTACTACTTGTCTGTCTGAGACATCAAAACAGAAGTGATTCCCAGAATGTACTACTTGTCTGCCTGAGACATCAAAACAGCAGTGATTCCCAGAATGTACTACTTGTCTGCCTGAGACATCAAAACAGAAGTGATTCCCAGAATGTACTACTTGTCTGCCTGAGACATCAAAACAGAAGTGATTCCCAGAATGTACTACTTGTCTGCCTGAGACATCAAAACAGAAGTGATTCCCAGAATGTACTACTTGTCTGCCTGAGACATCAAAACAGAAGTGATTCCCAGAATGTACTACTTGTCTGCCTGAGACATCAAAACAGAAGTGATTCCCAGAATGTACTACTTGTCTGCCTGAGACATCAAAACAGAAGTGATTCCCAGAATGTACTACTTGTCTGCCTGAGACATCAAAACAGAAGTGATTCCCAGAATGTACTACTTGTCTGCCTGAGACATCTAAACAGCAGTGATTCCCAGAATGTACTACTTGTCTGCCTGAGACATCAAAACAGAAGTGATTCCCAGAATGCACTACTTGTCCGCCTGAGACATCTAAACAGAAGTGATTCCCAGAATGTACTACTTGTCTGCCTGAGACATCAAAACAGAAGTGATTCCCAGAATGTACTACTTGTCTGCCTGAGACATCAAAACACAGTGATTCCCAGAATGTACTACTTGTCTGTCTGAGACATCAAAACAGCAGTGATTCCCAGAATGTACTACTTGTCTGCCTGAGACATCAAAAACAGATTCCCAGAATGTACTAGTGATTCCCAGAATGTACTACTTGTCTGCCTGAGACATCAAAACAGAAGTGATTCCCAGAATGTACTACTTGTCTGCCTGAGACATCTGAGACATCAAAACAGAAGTGATTCCCAGAATGTACTACTTGTCTGCCTGAGACATCAAAACAGAAGTGATTCCCAGAATGTACTACTTGTCTGCCTGAGACATCAAAACAGAAGTGATTCCCAGAATGTACTACTTGTCTGCCTGAGACATCAAAACAGAAGTGATTCCCAGAATGTACTACTTGTCTGCCTGAGACATCAAAACAGAAGTGATTCCCAGAATGTACTACTTGTCTGCCTGAGACATCAAAACAGCAGTGATTCCCAGAATGTACTACTTGTCTGCCTGAGACATCAAAACAGCAGTGATTCCCAGAATGTACTACTTGTCTGCCTGAGACATCAAAACAGAAGTGATTCCCAGAATGTACTACTTGTCTGCCTGAGACATCAAAACAGCAGTGATTCCCAGAATGTACTACTTGTCTGCCTGAGACATCAAAACAGAAGTGATTCCCAGAATGTACTACTTGTCTGCCTGAGACATCAAAACAGAAGTGATTCCCAGAATGTACTACTTGTCTGCCTGAGACATCAAAACAGAAGTGATTCCCAGAATGTACTACTTGTCTGCCTGAGACATCAAAACAGAAGTGATTCCCAGAATGTACTACTTGTCTGCCTGAGACATCAAAACAGCAGTGATTCCCAGAATGTACTACTTGTCTGCCTGAGACATCAAAACAGAAGTGATTCCCAGAATGTACTACTTGTCTGTCTGAGACATCAAAACAGAAGTGATTCCCAGAATGTGCTACTTGTCTGTCTGAGATATCAAAACAGAAGTGATTCCCAGAATGTACTACTTGTCTGCCTGAGACATCAAAACAGCAGTGATTCCCAGAATGTACTACTTGTCTGCCTGAGACATCAAAACAGCAGTGATTCCCAGAATGTACTACTTGTCTGCCTGAGACATCAAAACAGCAGTGATTCCCAGAATGTACTACTTGTCTGCCTGAGACATCAAAACAGAAGTGATTCCCAGAATGTACTACTTGTCTGCCTGAGACATCAAAACAGAAGTGATTCCCAGAATGTACTACTTGTCTGCCTGAGACATCAAAACAGAAGTGATTCCCAGAATGTACTACTTGTCTGCCTGAGACATCAAAACAGCAGTGATTCCCAGAATGTACTACTTGTCTGCCTGAGACATCAAAACAGAAGTGATTCCCAGAATGTACTACTTGTCTGCCTGAGACATCAAAACAGAAGTGATTCCCAGAATGTACTACTTGTCTGCCTGAGACATCAAAACAGCAGTGATTCCCAGAATGCACTACTTGTCCGCCTGAGACATTTAAACAGAAGTGATTCCCAGAATGTACTACTTGTCTGCCTGAGACATCAAAACAGAAGTGATTCCCAGAATGCACTACTTGTCAAAACAGCCTGAGACATTTAAACAGAAGTGATTCCCAGAATGTACTACTTGTCTGCCTGAGACATCAAAAACAGTAAGTGATTCCAGCAGTGATTAGAATGTACTACTTGTCTGCCTGAGACATCAAAACAGCAGTGATTCCCAGAATGTACTACTTGTCTGCCTGAGACATCAAAACAGCAGTGATTCCCAGAATGTACTACTTGTCTGCCTGAGACATCAAAACAGCAGTGATTCCCAGAATGTACTACTTGTCTGCCTGAGACATCAAAACAGAAGTGATTCCCAGAATGTACTACTTGTCTGCCTGAGACATCTAAACAGCAGTGATTCCCAGAATGTACTACTTGTCTGCCTGAGACATCAAAACAGAAGTGATTCCCAGAATGTACTACTTGTCTGCCTGAGACATCAAAACAGAAGTGATTCCCAGAATGTACTACTTGTCTGCCTGAGACATCAAAACAGAAGTGATTCCCAGAATGTACTACTTGTCTGCCTGAGACATCAAAACAGAAGTGATTCCCAGAATGTACTACTTGTCTGCCTGAGACATCAAAACAGAAGTGATTCCCAGAATGTACTACTTGTCTGCCTGAGACATCAAAACAGAAGTGATTCCCAGAATGTACTACTTGTCTGTCTGAGACATCAAAACAGAAGTGATTCCCAGAATGTGCTACTTGTCTGTCTGAGATATCAAAACAGAAGTGATTCCCAGAATGTACTACTTGTCTGCCTGAGACATCAAAACAGCAGTGATTCCCAGAATGTACTACTTGTCTGCCTGAGACATCAAAACAGCAGTGATTCCCAGAATGTACTACTTGTCTGCCTGAGACATCAAAACAGCAGTGATTCCCAGAATGTACTACTTGTCTGCCTGAGACATCAAAACAGAAGTGATTCCCAGAATGTACTACTTGTCTGCCTGAGACATCAAAACAGCAGTGATTCCCAGAATGTACTACTTGTCTGCCTGAGACATCTAAACAGCAGTGATTCCCAGAATGTACTACTTGTCTGCCTGAGACATCAAAACAGCAGTGATTCCCAGAATGTACTACTTGTCTGCCTGAGACATCAAAACAGCAGTGATTCCCAGAATGTACTACTTGTCTGCCTGAGACATCAAAACAGCAGTGATTCCCAGAATGTACTACTTGTCTGCCTGAGACATCAAAACAGAAGTGATTCCCAGAATGTACTACTTGTCTGCCTGAGACATCAAAACAGAAGTGATTCCCAGAATGTACTACTTGTCTGCCTGAGACATCAAAACAGAAGTGATTCCCAGAATGTACTACTTGTCAGCTTGAGACATCAAAACAGAAGTGATTCCCAGAAGAATATACTTGTCTTGCTGTAGTACACTGTAATTTTAAATAAAAGAATTTTTTAGAATATAACACTTTTCATCCCAATGGGAGGTCCAAGACAGAAGCAATTCCCAGAAGAAAATACTTATATTCCCATTGGAATCCTAAGAGATTAACATGAGAAGGTCATCAGTACCCCATCAGTGTCTCATTCCCAGTATTATATTGCAGACGACATAGTATTCACCGCGAGTCGGAGGAGAACATCCTCCAGTCTAGTCAGGAGGTGCTGGAGGGCTACATGGGGGACATCATGGAGCGCATCATCCACTCCGCCCGTGACTGCCCCCACATCATGAGGGTGGTGTTCCGCAACCTTCAGATGACCGTCAGGAAGAAGTGGCCGGAGACGGAATACGAGGTAGGGAGTCCATGCAGTCTTTAAACAGTGGTTCTATAGTTCTTAGACATTGACTGTTTACTCATGTTTTATCATTGGGTATTTATTCGTTTCTGTTTTACTCCCTTGGATTAAATCTGTTGGTATTTATAAGGCAATAATAACCAATAAATTGTTAATCTAATTTTGTGCATAAACTATTGCTTCGGTAAATGTGAATAATTTGGGAATTCATGTAATTGTGATGCCTGCATTCAGTCAGCAAATGAGATCTGTTAAGAAATATGGGAACTGGCTACTTTATGTACATGACATATTTCATGTGTAACCAACTCTTCAGGTAAGGGACCGTTCATAATTTATGGCTAGGGGGAGTGATGATGATTTTTATGGAAAAGCATGTACAATGTGAATGACACCCCCTCTAAAGTTTATGTACAAAGTAAGTGACCCCACCCCCCTGCATGTCATATACAAAATCAATGACCCCCCTCCCCCTGCAGATATTTTTCGCGCCTAATTTTCAAATATTAAAATGTACAAAATTGATGACCCCCCTAGTACATGTGTACAAAATTGATGACCTCCCCTACCTCCCAGAACAAAATGGGTGACCCCCTCTTAAAATCATCAATATTGTGAACGGTCCCTAATGGTGATTTATTTGGTATACCAGAGCTCAGCATTGTATCTCAGATTTGAGTTGATAAGATCTCAGCATGAGCATGCTTTCTTGTGGCACATAGGTCCACTTTGTAAAGTGAAGGTTGTGATTCAGCTGAATGACCTCTTAGACATCAAATAGTACAGACTGAGTTATCTCCCCTGTTTTATAGGACATTCCGTACCTGGCTGTGAGCGGCTTCCTTTTCCTCCGGTTCTTTGCTCCGGCCATCTTGTCCCCAAAGTTGTTTTCCCTCCACCCTGTACACGCCAACAGGAAGATCAGTCGAACCCTCACCCTGCTGGCAAAGGTAGGTCATCAGGAAGATCAGTCGAACCCTCACCCTGCTGGCAAAGGTAGGTCAACAGGAAGATCAGTCGAACCCTCACCCTGCTGGCAAAGGTAGGTCAACAGGAAGATCAGTAGTTCAGTCGAACCCTCACCCTGCTGGCAAAGGTAGGTCAACAGCAAGATCAGTAGATCAGTCGAACCCTCACCCTGCTGGCCAAGGTAGGTCATCAGGAAGATCAGTCGAACCCTCACCCTGCTGGCAAAGGTAGGTCATCAGGAAGATCAGTCGAACCCTAATATACTCAACTCATTTCAATGTATTCACTCTTAGTGACATACATGCTAGTTACTCACAGCAATAGACATTATTGCCATGCTAAAATATGTTTCAAAAATCCTAATGTCGATGTATTATGACTTGTTTCTGAAGCTACCATTAGTTCTAATGGCTACATGGCTGAAGCAATGCAACTAAACATGTTGAACCCTCTCCTTGTTGCAGCTGACCCAGAGCATGGGGAACCTGAACGTTCAGGGCAAGGAGGCATGGCTGGAGCCCCTAGCACCACTTATACATAACTATGTTGGCTGTGTCAGAGAGTTCATTGACGACCTGGTCACAGTATTTGATTCTGACAGTAAGTGAACTTTGTTTAATCAGTAGTAAATACAATGTTCAGTCTGGCCCTAATAAAAAGTGGGCCCATGGCCTGCCTGTCTTCAGTTATGTGGGCCATTGATAAATTAGTGTGGGTACCCTTCTTGTCAAATTGCTGTGACTTGTTAGCCATACATCAGAATTGGAATCAGTTTTACAAAGCGTATCCGATTTTCTCATAGTATCGATTTAAGGTTTCACACTGCCGTTTGAAACAGCTTGAAAATGATGTGCTAAGTTCTAGGTACTCAAAACGATAACTGTTTGCTTCATTTAGGGAGGGTAGCACATTTTTTACAATTAGAGCCTGCATAGTTTGCAGTTTTGCTTGAGTCGACATGTGAAAGCAAACTCATAATGCATTCAGATTTATGTGTAATTTCTTGATCAAACCAACAGAGCCCGCCAGTACTTTTAAAGTGTGCCGTATAAACTTTCAGTGCGACAATGACACAAGGGCTCAGCCTATAATCAACACTGTAAATATTTCGAAGCTGAAAGTGCTTTTCTCTGTCAAACATCCATCTACATGAATATTAACATGAGTTGTGTAGTAACAACTCAAAATGTATCATAGGAAATATACTGGAACATGGCTACTGATAGTACAGGTGTATTATTAAGTGAGTGAGTGAGTTTAGTTTACGCCGCACTCAGCAATATTCTAGCAAATGGCGGCGGTCGGTAAATAATCGAGTCTTGACTAGACAATCCATTGATCAACAGCATGAGCATTGATCTATGCAGTTGGAATACCATGACATGTGTCGACCATGTCAGTGAGCTGACCACCCGATCCTGTTAGTTGCCTCATACAACAAGCATGGGTTACTGAAGGTTAGTTCTAACCTGGACCTTCACGGGTACGTGAAAAGAAAAACAGCGGTGAATGGATTACTAAAAATCAGTGATGACACCAGGTGTTTGCAGAAAAGAAAGACTTTGTCTTAGATGAAAAATAAGCAAGGTCTTGCTGTAACCGGAATATCTGGGATGTTTTACATATCCCATGTGTGAAATGTCTGTGGGAACTCATCAACAGAAAGTATTGATATCAGGAACAGTTTCTGAATACGAAGAAGATATTTGGGAGCCCTATGATGCACACTAGTATCCAAGTCATTATATTAATGCAATGATTTTTCTCACAGCGTTCCAATCACCTTTAAATAAGTCTTATTTAGATTCCCTGGCTTGGCACACCTGAGATATCACTTGAGAAATATATGGTTAAAAAATATCATTCGTCACCATCCGTCCCATTCTGTAACCTCCATCGTTATTCAGCTTGTCCCGGAATAACTCAAATAGATGAATTCTAACCCGGATCTTCACGGGTCTGCTGTTAAGACTAATGTTGAAACACAAACGCTGTTAAGACTAATGTTGAAAAACACAAACTATTGCAGTTTATATACCTCCTTCTGTTTGTTGGTTTGGTGTTTAACACTGCACTCAGCAATATTCCAAATATTTGGTACTCTGTTTGTCAGCCAGAAGGATATTTCTGGCCTGACGACCATAATTCTTGTCTTCCAAGTGTAATTTTGGTTATGCAGTTAAATTCTGCCATGATGCTTGTGTACTCTTGGCAAGTGGTAGTGAACAAAGAAAGTACAGTATGAATGTGTTTTGTACAGAGAACCACCGATGTTCAGGTCTATCCCCAACCCAATGATGATTCTGGTTCTGCTAACAAAGAAAGTACAGTATGAATGTGTTTTGTACAGAGAACCACCGATGTTCAGGTCTATCCCCAACCCAATGATGATTCTGGTTCTGCTAACAAAGAAAGTACAGTATGAATGTGTTTTGTACAGAGAACCACCGATGTTCAGGTCTATCCCCAACCCAATGATGATTCTGGTTCTGCTAACAAAGAAAGTACAGTATGAATGTGTTTTGTACAGAGAACCACCGATGTTCAGGTCTGTCCCCAATGATGATTCTGGTTCTGCTAACAAAGAATGTACAGTATGAATGTGTTTTGTACAGAGAACCACCGATGTTCAGGTCTGTCCCCAATGATGATTCTGGTTCTGCTAACAAAGAATGTACAGTATGAATGTGTTTTGTACAGAGAACCACCGATGTTCAGGTCTGTCCCCAACCCACCAGAAGGATGAAGTGATACTGAGGCACGGGGTGCTACTGAAGTGCCGCTACAAGACCAAGTCCTGGCTGCGACCCCTTGTCTTCAAGAAGTGCAATTTCTGGCTCACTCGATCCACCTTATCTTACACAAAGTCACAGTCAGAAGAGGTGAGAGGTCAAGGACATTATTTGTTTTTCAGATCGATCTTCTCTAAGGGACATGCAGGAGGACTCATTATAAAATGTACTTATAATATTGTGTGTTTTGGTAAATGACTTTCCCGGATGGAATACTAGAAATATGGAATTATTGAATGTGGAGGACAGTGTTTGCATGAAAGATTCTAATAAACTTATTCAGTTTTTGAAACATGGAATGGGAAGGAATCTTTTGTGATATTTTCTGAATGTCATAAAAGTTTGTGTGATCGGAAGAGAAATATGCTTTGTTTTGGCACACATTTTGAATAATGCATCAACCACAACTTTTGTCCTTTTTTTCTTTGTTCTCTGGTATTTCAGCAATATTATGATATTGTACCAGCCAATCCAGTGATTGACATGAGCAATTGGGATAGGTTGACAAAAGTCAAGAAAGTTAGCAAGCCTGACTTCCAGATTCTGTTTGTTTGGTGTTTAACGCTGAACTGTAAACAATCCAGTCTGGACCAGACCATCCAGTGATTGACATGAGCAATTGGGATAGGATGACAGCAGTCAAGAAAGTTAGAAAGCCTGACTTCCAGATTCTGTTTGTTTGTTGTTTAACGCTGAACTGTAAATAATCCAGTCTGTACCAGACCATCCAGTGATCAACATTATGTGCATCGATCTATGCAATTAGGATACGATGATGTCAACCAAGTCAGCGAGCCTGACCACCCGATCTTGTTAGTTACTTCTTACAACAACCCTAGGTTTGGGGGTCTAATTCTAACCCAGATCTTCACAGTAAGTCTGCATTTGTCATACCCATGCTTGCCATGTTGTGTGATGCTAATGTCTAGCATGTCTCCAGGCAAGGAAGGTGATCCCCGTGTCCCAGGTGTGTGCGGTAGAGAAGCTGGACTATGGAGCCCTAAGCAAGTCCAACATGGGTCAGATCCTCATCCGCGACCCCGAGGACACCAACAACGTGGACTACGGCATCCTCTACTTTCAGGCCAAGGTGGGCGCTGGCATCATTACTTATTCCTTCCATTCTAGGATGCAGGCTGATTGCCATACACACTTTTGTGCAAGAAAACCATTCTTATTTTTCTTAACTGACATTTTTGTTTGATTTGTGACTAAACAAGGGAGTTTGGGAGATTTTGCCAGTTAGTGATTGTGACAGCCAGGTTTGTATAATTAGCATGTGCCATGTTTACGATGAAGTCCAACAAACATATTGGGATTCCCCCCAATTTGATCAACAGGCAGAGTTCCTAGGTTTCACCATTACCAAGTACCATTATGTAAATGTTATTGCTCATCAGGTTTGTCAATGTTTGTTTGGATATTGATCCTCAAGGTCATCAAACTGTGCCTGGTAATACATGGATTTCCTTGGGTCAAAAACTGAATAACATGCCCAAACATTCATGTATATACCCGGGATGTGAATGGGGTTCTGTTTGTGAGTTTTCTTTTCTCCTTGTACCCTCAATATGATGTGAATTTGTGAGTTTTTTCATTTCTACCCTCCCAGGATGTGAATGAGCTTACCTCCTGGATGTCGGCCATCAGGAAGACATGCCAGTTTAACCAGTGCCGTGTTGAAGCCTACCATCCCGGGGTGTATAAGGGGGACAAGTGGAGCTGCTGTCACAGGCTATTACCTACAGGTGAGTCACTACCAACAGGTGACACACTACCCATAGACACCTACAGCTTGCTACCCACATGTGTCACTACCGTCAGGTGAGTCACGACCTACAGGTGACACACTACCCATAGATACCTATATCTTGCTACGCACATGTGCCACTACCCTCAAGTGACTCACTACCCACAGGGGAGCTACTGGCCAACTACCTGCACCTGGCAACCCATAGGTGCCACTACCAACAGATGAGACACCATCTACAGGCCACCAATCACTTGTGCCACTACCTACAGGTAGCGTCACATAATTTTGCAAGAAATACCTGCTTTTCATTTTGTTATTGACAGCAGGTCTTTTTCCCTCTTGATAATTGTAAAACATGATTTGAATAGAACTGAATCATTATGGTTCACAAGTAAGTGTAATTTGTTGTTGCTGTAGCCACTGGGTGCAGTCAGACGTATCATGGCGTGATGCTGGGAGACTGGCAGGACCCTCTGGACCCAAGGCTGGAGACGCAGATCATCTTCTCACAACTCCTCAACAGCAGGGACAACCTCAGGTCAGACCCTCATTACCCCACACTCAATCAATCAATCTTTAGCACGTGAAGATCCGGACTAGAATTGATCTTCTTGTCGTGACTAACAGGATCGGGTGGTCATCGTATCCCATCCCGTAGATCGATGCTCATGCTGTTGAGCACTGGATTGTCTGGTCCAGTCTCTTATTTACAGACCACCGCCATATACTGTACCTGGAATATTGCTGATGGTCGCTCACTCACTCACTCACTCACTCACTCACTCACTCACTCACTCACTCACTCACTCACTCACTCACTCACTCACTCACTCACTCACTCACTCACTATTCAGTACTTAAAAAGGCCACAGGTCTGTTGTACATTTAAAGTTTACATAGTAGTTTACAAAGTCATTTACAAACTCTTTTCTATAACAATATATACTCCTGCCAATAATGGTTGTCACCCCCTTCAATTTTATTAATAGGCTGGGGGGTGACAACCATTACTGGCAGGAGTATATTTTCTAAAACTCAAAGCAAAATAGATGTACAATGCCAGATTCTGTATTAATAATCTGTTGGTGCTAACACAGTCATCACATCATGTATCCATCTGTCAGACATCACTCAAGTAGGAGATAAACATCAAAACATCATGTGTTGGCCAATTTCCGGGTGTTATTGAGTATTTGAAACACAGGAATTGTTTGTCATTGACATTGAGTACGGGTACAGCAGTGAAGTGTCATAAGACATTTCAGCTGGTTTCCATGGTAGCGTCTGGAACTGCTCATTTGTGACGTCATTCCGACTTTACGTCACAATATGATTTGAATGACGTCACCACTGCTGACGGCGCAACAATACAATTGTGTGCAATATTTTTTAGTGTCAATACGCAGTGAATAGTCTTGCAATTTCCGGGAATTGAATACCGTTCGATCATGTTTTTCAACCAATCAAATTAAAGAACATGGTGACTTTTGGTTTACATTTACAGTGGAAGCCCTCTAAACCGGCAGTCGTTGGGACCGACAAAAAATGCCGGTATAGATGGCGTGCCGGTTTAAACAACTTTTCCCTTTCAACCTGAGAATGATCTTCCGTATGCCGTAAAATACGACTGAACAACGTGTTGATAGTCATCATATTCGACGCTCACTTTAAACTGTTTGATGTCGTATCGTGTCTTCCAACATGCCAGCCAACCATCTGATGCATTAAACTCGTTGACATTTAATTCTGAAGCAAACTGAATAGCTTTCTCTTTCAAAATAGGACCAGAAATGGGCATGTTTTAACAGCAGGCAGTCGAAAAACAATCATGCCGGTTTAAATAGCGTTAGTTACTGTACAAACAGTCAATTAGGCGGTCTTTGTTGTGCCGAAATACAGAATAGACTGACGCCGGATTAGAGGGATTGTAAATGATCATAAATTAACTAGGTTCTGTCAGGACGAAATTCTAGTGCCGATATTGAGAGCCTGCCGGATTGAAGGGCTGCCGGTTTAGAGGGCTTCCACTGTACTAGTTATACTGATCATCATGCTACTCTTATGGTGTTATTATTTTATATATACAGAGAGAGTTAAAGCTGCAGTAACATACATTATAGTAGAATATATTCTTCATATTAAAGCATGCCTAATAAGGTCCGTGTTAGCACTACATGTTTTCAGTAACCCCTGTTTGTCGTAAGAGGCGATTAACGGGATCGGGTGGTCAGGTTCACTGCCTTGGTTCATGCAAGTCATCGTATCCCAATTGCGTAGCTCATGGTGTTGATGACTGGATTGTCTGGTCCGGACTCAAATATATACAGACTGTCGCCATATAGCTGGAATATTGCAGAGTACAGCTTTAAAGAACAAAAAAACCAAAACATTAGTCTCCTCTTACGAAATGCATGGGTTGCTGAAGACCATATCTAACCTTGTCTTAGTGAAACTTGAGCCTGGTATACAGTAGTGGTGGTCCGATTAATTGAAATAATCGAAGATTGGTCGTAGTGACTAAACGACCAAGCAATCGATCATAATTTCTCATAATCGAACACAACCAATTTTGGAACACTTGTTTTCATTAACAATATTGTCTGTTACATGTTGTAAGCACTACAAGCTCGTTTCAAGTCATGATTGAATTTATCTTAAAGGCTCCAAGAAATTTATGTTCCTAACATGCTAGTCATCCTTTAAAGATGTGAAATTTTACCAAAAAGCCCCAAAAGAACTACATGTTCTTTTCCTTATTTTTATGTGCATTAACAAATTTCATAAATGACGCTAACCAATTATTTTCGATGATTGATCAGTTGTAATGAACCAATCATCAATTATGAGATTTTAACCAATTCCCAACACCAGTATACAGGGATGGCAAACAACATATGGAAGATATGGAGTGAGGGGGATGTAGGTTTGAGCTCCATCCGTCCGTTCGAGATGATGGAGACAGATTTTCTCAGAAACCGTTATAGATATAACCAAATTTGATATGTGCTTTTAGGACATAAATGCCTTGGTGGAGTTTGAAAACGGAAACCGTGTTACAATTTGTTACACAGTTACGTCCCTTGTCATGAGTTTCTTGACTTGGTGCACGTTATCCCCAATGGGGACAGGTTTTCTCAATAACCATTATAGATAGGGAAACCATATTTGGTATGTGTTTTCAGTACATGAATGTCATGGTGGAGTTAAAAAACAGGAACCGTGTGGCGGGGGATATTTATGAACATGTCATTTGTTCACATTGCATCTTTGTTTCTCTCACAGGAAGGAGCAGATCGAGCTTCAGCTGGAATTGACCAGACGGGGAGCAGAGGGCTCTGTGGGTTGTGTTACCAGCCAAGGTCAACCCATAGACAAGAAGCTGAAAACTATTGGTCAAATCCTGGACGTCATTGAACAGCTGACAATGTCTCATGAGACATTCCGTGAAATGCCTGAGCTCCATCACTAGGAGTGTGGAGACACGTCCAGATGAGTCTCGCCCCTGAAACATGTCAATATAACAGCAGCATTCCTGCACAACTGTGACATACATCAGACATATCAAAACAGGTTTTCAATGCCAAGAATACAATTGTATGTATGAACATGTCAATAATACTACTGTGAAACATGATCTGATGATAATTGTATCCATGGCACATGTCCCTCTAACAGTTGTATTCCTGATTCACCTCCCAGCAACAATTGTATTTCTAATATCTATCAAAACAATAGTTGTATTCCTTTAATGTCAAAACATCACTGACACAATGGCTCTAGTTAAAAAAGATATCATAAAAACAAATTGAGAATGAAATTGTCAAAGCGATGTTACTCCTCAATATTACACATAAATGCCAATGTCACTAGGGCAATAGCAATTTACCAAAGCTTCATCACCAGGAAATCTGTAATTGACAAGAGTTTCTTCACAAGGACAAGCTCTGGTGAACTACAGCGTGTTCAACAGAACAAGTTCTGATGGACCACAGCTTCATTAATAGAACATGTTCAAGTGGACCACAGCTTCCTCCCCATGGTCAAGCTCAGAAGGAAAACAGCTCCATTACTAGGACAAGCTCAGATGTACCAGTGCTTGATGAATAGAACAAGTTCTGAACGTAACATATGTTATATTTGGGATTACACAAAGTGTAATCCCAAATATAACAAGTTACATTTGACCACTTTCTAAAATGGCATTGTGTATTTCATAACAAGTTCTGAGCTTCATCACTACAGCTTCATCACTAGAAAAAGCTCTGATGGCCCATAACTTGATCAACAGGACAAGCACTAATGGACCACAGCTTCATCACTAAGACATGCTCTGATGGACCATAACTTGATCGACAGGGCAAGTTCTAATGGACCACAGCTTCATCACTAAGACATGCTCTGATTGCCCATAACTTGATCGACAGGGCAATTTCTAATGGACCACAGCTTCATGACCAACACATGCTCAGATGGACCACATCTTCATTACTAGGACAAACTCAGATGGACTTGGCTCAGTTCCACAATGCCATCATAGCGCTATGCCTATTGTAACCAGTGTTAAAGGATAGGAGCTACAATCACCTGGACACTAAGATCTATTTGTAGAACAGTGCCAGGGCTGGTTCGCAGGACAATCTGAGCTACATCATCAACAAGCATCGACTGCAAGCCATCCAAGAAGTCAAAACCACACAGAATGTCCACTCCGTCAACATTCGGACTTGAAGTATAACTTTTTGAGAACACTTTTTCCATGTAACTGTGATGAATCTGCCTCATAGACAATCTATTTTCTCCTACTTGACCTTTCGATCTTATAGGTGCAGCTAAGATTCAGTGTTCTTTCAGCACATTCCAGATGCCGTTCCTGTCTTGTTGATAGGGGGTACTCACATCGATCATGTCGCCCACTCAGCAAGAATTTTCTTCAGCGAACTTTGTCAGTTTCTTATATTTCTTTATTTCAGACATTTTGAGATTTTATAATCTGTGTTTTTTTCCATGTCAAAATGTTTTGTCTTTTATATTGCAATATTACAGAATATGAATTGTCTCAGTGTGGCTTAAATTGCATTGTCCTGAGCCTTGGTTAGTAGAGAATAAATACATATGTTGTTATATTTTACAGAGTTCCGAGAAACAGCTACTTACTTGGAAATATTTATCATATTGTTTGTTGTCAAAAAGTCAAATGCCCTATACCTTAAAATACTCATGACATGACACGTATTCAATTATACAAACAACTGTGAACATAATTTAGAGGTTAATTGTTTCAATGTAATTATGGCCTTTGTCGATTTGCATACATTGTTTAGAAGATAAATGTTCAATATTGCATATAGTGGACACCTTGAACATCGTGTAACAGTTATTTTGTTCAATATAATAGCTGCATTTGTGAAATTGTGAACATTATTTAGAGGTTTATTGTTTCAATATTATATAGGCCTTTGTGAATTTCTTGAATGTCACTTAGAGGTTAGATGTTTCAGTATTAGACGGGCAATATTGTGAATTTCATAAGCATCTAGAGGTTTATTATTTCAGTGTTGAACTGGAGATTGTGAATTTCATGAACATTTAGAGGTTAATTGTTTCAGTATAGAAGTGACCTGCATGAATTTGTGGACATCATGTGGAGGTTAATTGTTTCAGTGTTGAACAGGCCACTGTGAGTTTCATGGACATCATTTAGAAGTTAATTATTTGTGAATTTCTTGAACATCATTTAGAGGTTAATTGTTTAAAATATCATGGAGACCTTTGTGAATTTCTTGAACATCATTTAGAGGTTAATTGTTTAAATATTATAGAGACCTTTGTGAATTTCGTGAATGTTTAGAGGTTATTTGTTTACCATCATACATACAGGCCTTTGTGATTTTTTTTAAACATCATGTGGCCCAGTAGAGGTTATATGTGTCAGTCCTACATGTGTGCCTCATTATTTAGTAATGAATTGTTTCAGTTGTTGTCTCCTGTTTGAGTTGTGTCAGCACCAGTATTATTTGTTTCTGTGACACAAGGCCCAGTAATGTTGTACACCTTGAGGCACAACCTGGTTATTGCTCTGTGCACAAGGTAAATATTGTTATCCTTTTAGACATCGATATCAGAGAATCTCATGGCAGTTACAGAAAACAGAAGCAAAAGTGTTTTCCTTTTGTTAGTAATATGTATATTTCTGGCTGTTAATATTTCCAGCATGACAATTATCTATGACCAGATTGCAATACATCAGCGGCATGTAAAACACTCATCACTGACTTTGCCATACTACATCTGTCACAGTATCTGTAGACAGAAATGAAAAATATTATTCATATTTTTCTCTTCCAGTGTTTTATCCAAAATACTCCTCTCTGGAAGCAACACAGATGTTCGTTTCACAATTTGTTTATGAATCTATGTCAGACATTAAGGAGAGTTATCTCCCTTAACTCCCTAACAACTTTTAATGCTGATTCTATAGGATTTGTTAAGTTGACTGACGACAGGAAATCTGCCTTAAAGGATGGTAGCAGTTTGTGAATCTAGTGCAGTGATAATGTAGGGTAAAACTTGATAGTCGCCCTTATTGTCAGTATTCACAACTGAAATATCAGCTGTTTGGGAAACTTGATCTCGTCACTATATAGCTGGAATAATGCCGATGTGACGTAAAGCCCAACTCAACTCAGCTGTTTGTTGTTGTGTTAATGTAGACAGTATTGAGAAGAACATTTTCTTTATGAAATAGTGGAGAATTTTCCATCTGTTATACAAGCTGTAAGTTCATAGATAGCACTGTTCAGGCGCCATCTCATTCCAGCATCAGTTTCTACAGATTCTGCAGAAGCCATCATTTGTAGCATGTATTTGACAAGGCCTTATTATCTTGGTTTTCTCATCCCACTGCTCATATTCAATGAATGTAGCCAGATAAATGGAAAGAAAACATACTGAGTCTCCAGACGAAAAGTCAATAACCATATACAGCATATTTTGGCACCCCCCCCTCTTTCTCTAAGAAAGACTTGCTATTACATATATATAGCATGCAGAGCATAGCTGTTAGACTTCGCAGAGTTGTCTACCCTTGCCTGCCAGATCCACTAGCTGGTTTCACTACAGTGGTAGACATGTTAAATGTACTGAATACTCCACTGTGGTAGAGAGTTTGTCTTTCCTGGAATAATTCTAAATGCTGTTTATAGAGGTGTTGAATTCAGTCAAGAATTACCCTTTGAATGTATGAATGAGTTGGAATCCATTTTTCAATGTGGGCCCAGGATAATGGCTGCTCACAAGCATAAACGAGAACTGTATATATGTGTCTGTTTTGGTGGTGGAATGTGTCTAGGGTTTGAAGATTTGGGCTGTCAGAACTAGATTAGTTCAGTAATCCTAATTCCTAACATCATCACCTCACAAGTGACAGGACATGATAGGCTTCTGGTGAGAGTGTTCGTTTGCCACACATAGTCCTGGGTTCTATTCCTAACATTGGTAAAATATACCAAGGTCATGCTTTGTGACCCAGCTGTGATATGAGTGTTATTGCTTCAAACTTGTAAACATTCTTAATCTCACTCACATGTTGCTGTTTCATGTATTTATACACATCATCGTTTTCTCACATTTGTATGACTTTTGCTGTTTTTTTGTTGAACTGTTTTGTTACACTCTTTCAATGTTAATACCTTCTGTTTTCATGGGAGATACACAATTTCTGAAGTTAACAAAATAATATGTGTGGTCCTTACCGTCTTCAGTCATTTCGCTGGATTCAAGATCAAATTTAACTGAAGACAATGATTCCCTCTGAATAAAACCCAAATCAACCAAACTTCAGAAAACAGAACATGATTAAAATTGAATTAAAGAAATCCCAACTCTGATGATGAAGTTCAGTTAAAATGGCAAATTATTTGTGAAATTGTTTGTTTCTGGCTTCCATCTAACCAAATATGTGGCAATGAGAATCATGACTTTGAAATCAAACCTGTCCTTTGGTGAAGGCATTTTTAAAAAATATTTGGTGAAGTCATTTTTTCTTGTTTCCGTGTGACGGAATTTGTTAAAGTAATTACAGAAATACCTGTATGAAGTCATGCAACTTGGTCCTTGGGCAAAGGCAAATTTGTTAATTATTTGGTGAAGTCATTTGTTTCGGAACAACGATCTGTCAAGATATTGTTGAGCGGTTTGAGCATGACGAATACTTAATGTTACATATGATATACACAGGTCTCATCAGCTTTATGTCTCAGATGACAGAGGATTCTCTGGGAATGCCCTGGCATCGTTCGTTTATTCCCCCAGCATAATTACAACCATATGTGTTGAGAAGGCGTTGGTCCTTCTGTCAGTCGCACTTCCTGTCATCCATACATTTCATTTTCACGCCACTCTCTCATGTCATTTTGTACAGTACCAGACTTCAGGGGACGAAGGAGTGGAAGGATGCAAGACCCAGATGACCGTTTCTTATTGAAATACCTATATATACTCATAGGAGCTTGTAAATATAGACTCTGTACTGGCAAACAAGGATAAGTTGGACCGGCGCAGAGAACACGTTTACGAGAAGTAGGCGGTGCGCGGCAATGAGCAAACCCATTTGGTTTGTGAAAGGTACAGCAAATGTAGGCTAGTGCACGTGCATTGCATGACGATGAAATTGATTCTGTGTGTAGCTGCACCCGCCTTGCTCATAAGACTCTCACGTTGGTGTAGCAAGTCGCACTACACTTGATCGCGGCAACCTGGGGCCCCTTCGCTAACAATAGCAATCGCCAGTGGGCGGCACTCATACATGCTAATACGGGTCAGTTGTCAGGTCAGTGCTCAACTTATCCTTGTTTGCCTGTTGATGTATTCATGCAACACCCATATGACCACCTTCTTTATCAAATACCTATATATACCCACATGGGCTTGTTTAAAAATGCATCAATAACAAGCCGACATTGTCAATGATGGAGTCTTATATTCATGCAAGACCCAAATGATCTCCTAACTGAAATACTTTCATTCCCACATGTGCTTGTAAAACCAAAACTTACGTCAATTATGGGCCTAAAGTGTCTCTGCTGAAGTCTGCTGAAAATCGAATCTGATACCTTAGTTTAGATTTTCGATAAGCG